ACAAAATCTGCCCATTAATAAGAGTAAAATGGCAGACAAAATCATCTGTTTGTGTTATTCCCATGACTTTATGTGCCTAATTTATGTAAAAATTCAGAAAAAGGACATTTTTGCTCATGCCAATTTACAGTAACCTGAATTATGAATGTTTTCTGTCACTATAGTTAGAAAATTCGGCCATGTACCGGTATTCCAGATTGGTGTTTGTTCAAGGGCAAGCATTGCTCTGACCTTTGAGCAACCATGGGGGAAGAATTTACTTTGTTTCAAAATTTGCAAAAGGTGAAAATGCATCTTGACTTGAATTTCTGTTGCTTATAGGGCCTGGGAAAATTTTATAAATCAGCAAATATTGTTTATTTTCTAGTAAATGGACTTACAGTTAGGATCATATTTTTGCTAGAATTTTCTATTCAGATTATGTCTGTCATTGTTCCATGCAGCCAAGCAGCTTTAGGCATTAAAAATATCTGCTTTGCAAGCTGCAATTAGAGCCTTCATCCCATCGTTGGAGCTGCAAAATTCCGACTTAGTTGTCTACCTGACTAAAAAACAGTGCAAGATCGAGTGAAGATCAAACCACAATTTTTTGACATCCTAGATTCACTGCAGAGGTATCTCATCAGAGGCCAAAGCTTTAAATTCCAAGCATAAATTTGTCAATCCTATGCACTTCAACATGTATATTCATTTAAATTTTCGTTTTTTTATATTCATTTTCCAAGTTTGATGCTTTTTAAAATTTCAATCATTCAGGTGTCATAATTCATATACCCAAGGAGCAGCAAGGAATTCATATTAAGGTGCAGTAAGCATTTCAATGAAGTTCATATAACAATGAGAATCAAGTTTTGATGGCTTATTTCATTCGGAAAAAGCAACAAATTGGATGTCGTTATTTAATTAGCTACTTCAAAATTACAAAATTGACATTGGTATCTAAAACCCCTTGGGCAGGTAATCCACTAGGATCATACAACTATCATTATTGGCAATGAATTTTCAGCATATAAACATAATTTAGTTGGTGCTGGATTAATTGTACAAGCCACTGTTGTCTTAAGACTATTTTGTGCTGGTAAATTTCATGAAACAAGCACTATTCTCAAGACAGTATTGGTGGTTTGAATTTGAATAGATGATAGTTTTGAATTAGATTCTCATATCTGAAAGATTTATTATATGGGTTGATATGAGGCATAATAACTGTCTCGGCTAATGTAAAATTCATGGTATCAAGTTCTACCTACCCATTTGCATTCTGAAGCAGCCACTTGCACCTTATTATATGGGGGTTTACAAATTAGTAGGAAATCTTCATTTTTTTTCTTCAATGAAGTATGATTTAATCATCAGTTTCCAGCTGTAAGTGCTCAAAAACTTGAATTATTGCATTGAATATTTGATTACAGTGATTAGATGGAATGGGGTGTAGTCTTTAAACTAGAATCAAGACTAATATGTAGAAAAAGTTAGGCTATGCCTCTCTCATGATAGATTAGCAAGGAGTTTCCTAAGTACTGTGGAAAAATCTGACTAGTTTTACACCAACTTAAGAAGATATTTCATTCCCATGGCCTATTCTGTGCCTGAAATCTGCACTCGCTATGGTATTGTCAAATTAAATTTATTTGGATGAAAGTTCCAAACTATAGAGTGGTGTTGAGAATATGCACTTCATCTCACTGCCTGTCTTCCTCTAGGTAAATAAAAATGCATTAGAACTTATATCATTCAAAATTGAAAGACGTGCTAAAATTAATTGATATATGTGCTGGTCTTGTGGTCCAGATTTGTTCAACTACATAGGCGGAGTGCATAAACCAAAAATTGTAATAATCCAACTCTGTTTACTGGTTGCACAGTAAATGTTGAGTTTTTACAAATGAAGTTCTCATCAATTGATGTAACAGTTTCAATGAAATCCTCAACAGTGTAAGTCAATTAAATGTTTTTCAATGGAATACTACTGCACTGAAATGCTATGGTGCACTACACCATTGATTCTGCACAGCAATAAAGTACAGTTGGTAAAGAAATACCACATTCGGCAGCATCTTTTACAATTTTCAGCTTCTGCACTTCTTGAAAACTGATGTAGCACTGTTCAATGCTGTTTTAAGTGTCAGGCTCTTACTGAAAGAAGTCATTTTCAATTTGCATTGAATCAAAATACTTGTGTGTGTTAGTTGAGAAAAAGTTTGACTGAGTCAACTCAGACACAGTACTATCATCCAGAGACTCAACTATAGGTGCAGGAGGGTTTTCACCTGATTTCAATAAGGCATGTACCTACCATTTTGCACTTTTTTATCATTAAAATACCACATTCAGCAGCATCTTTGACAATTTGCAGCCTCTGCACTTCTTGAAAACTGATGTAGCACTGTTCAATGCTGTTTTAAGTGTCAGGCTCTTACTGAAAGAAGTCACTTTCAATTTGCATTGAATCAAAATACTTGTGTGTGTTAGTTGAGACAAAGTTTTAAGTCAATTCAGACACAGTTCTATCATCCAGAGACTCAACTATAGGTGCAGGAGGGTTTTCACCTGGTTTCAATAAGGCATGTATCTACCATTTTGCACTTTTTTATCATTAACTTCTGAATTGAAGAAAGCAAGTTCCACAAGAGTTTCACTCAAGTTCCCTAAATGGTGCATGAATGTCTAGGTGGCTGCACTGGAAATTGATTTATTAACTGTTCCATAACTGTGCTAGTGTTGCTGGAAGTGTTATCAAAACACTCCTGACTTCTGCTCAACTTAATATACACTATTTTTTCTGCCTTTTGGTCTCCACTAAGTTGTCTTTTTTTACATTTCATGAAGCACCATGTCAAATCCTCTCAAAATTCCGCGTCTTCCTCTCTCTCTTTGGGCATGCAAGAAATATCAGACATTATAGATTTTCATGGATATATTTAAAAGGTAATCTGATATAGAATTTGAATTGATTTTCTAATAGGTACTCGAGTCATACACTTTGAAAATTGGAGTGTGCACCCCTGGCAAGATTTCAATGGAGTTCATATAGCAATGAAACTGCAGTAGTATTGGTGAGTTTTCTGTGATCAGGTGGTAGCACAAAATTGCACTTGGCTATTCAATCAGATTAAAGTTGTAAATTTGGCTGTGGTCTCCCCCAAAAAAATATTGAGATAATGCAACAATTGTTTCAGAACATCTAACTTGAATAATAGGCAAAAAAATCTGCCAAAAAACCTTTCAGTTGTGCTGCACTAAATGTGTACCTAGGTCATTGTATGTCAGAGTATATTCTGTGTTGATAAAATACAAATTGAGCACCATTCTCAACATGATGATGGTGACTTGAATTTTTTCAATATTTGTATTTAAGAGGAAAGGTATTAAGGTGACTAATATCAAGAAGAAATTGCATAATTGGGGCTTTATAAGTGTTTTAGTTTATTTGAAATTAATTGAATTAATACCTCCAAAATTGACTAGGCCATTATATTTTAAAGAATTTTATAATTAATGGACATTTGAGTCATGAATCAGCTAGTTACACCTTAATACTTTTGGTTCTGCAATTCTTTGCAGGAAATTTTCACTGTCAGGCACGTATATAAATATTGATCCCATAATATACAGGATGAAGTATGATGATTAATTGGTTGCCAAGTGTGAGCAATAACATGAGTTTGGGTGCTTGATTATGTTAAATGTATGTACTTTGGTGTTTGGACTTGAAAGACAAGTATAAAAATAATGCATCAAGATTGTTTATACATCTATCTTCAATTATGAGTCAAGTGTTTTCAAGTACTTCTGAAGACATCAAATGCAATCCTGGTGCGCCACCAAAGATCATGAGATTTGTTCACTTCTAGCGATTTGGCTGTTTTATGCATTCATTTATCTATGAAAATATTTAGGATCCAAACTCAAATTCACTGCCATAATACTTGTGTGCATGTTGTGCCACATCCATTAGACCATCTTTAGCAGGAAGATGAAATGAAAGTGTAGTATGTGCCATGTGTACCGTGGGTCTTCGTTCATACCAAAAAAGAATGAATTATATTTTTTAATAATTAACATAAATTTGTATTATATACCACACAACAAATATTCAGGCTTTGTAGTTAGTTTTTGGGTATGTGCAATTCATCATAGTATGATTTTGTTGGCAGACGGACAATTTCTCCTGCTTACAAATTTTGAGGAATTTTTTGAATGTTGTTCCATGCTTCATGATCAGCGAGCATGTAGCATTATTGTCCATAACATTTCCAAAAACGTGTGTTTTGAAAATTAAAGTACTTGGTGTATTTCTATGTATACTCCTAAGGATGATGGTGGATGAGTCAACCTGATAATTTTTTTCAGGGAGTATGCATTGAAAATCGGGTTAAAGTAGCAAGTTTGTTCAATGTTTGTGTGTAAATATGGTGGTGTAATTTTGGAATCAGAAATAAGCTCATAATGGGGTGAGATATTTAATATCTTAGTGCCATTATTGACCTTTATTACTAGTTAGTTTTATTTATTATTAATCATTATCAAATTGATATCAGAAAGACTTTCATAACCTTTAATGTTTTGACAGCTTTGATATCCAAATTCAATCGAATCTTACAGATGGGTCCAAAAAAGAAGCCAAGAAGGAAGCAGTGCTTCAGCTGCGGCCAATTTGGTCACTATACGCAGGACTGCCACAAAGGAGCAGCCCATGATGTGGCTGCAGTGAACTCTGAGTCCGCGCCTGCTACGTCTCAGACTTCACAGATCTCTGAGGTATTTTTGTTTTATAGGGCATCTGCTGTGAGGGCTTCAGTTTTATAATGGTGGTCTTTTTTCACTGTTATCTATACTATTATCTTTGTCAATCATATTTGCTTTCGTTTGCTATTTTAATTTGAAGTAAACAAATTCTCTTGATTCACAGAGCCCGTCAAGAAATGGCCCAACTCCCGGTCAGTGCCTGACAACGAACACCTCAGCGCATGACAAGGCAGGCAGCTCTTCACGTGAGGAAGACGTGTCTGTGCCCTCGACCTCGGCAGTGAGAGATTTGCCATTGGTGAGTGCTATGAATGATCAATTACAGCAGCTGTTACATCAATTTAAATTATAATAGGATAACTTGTACTTTCTTTTTTCGTAAATGTAAGATCTTGTCATTGGACATACTACGTTGATAATTCTGGCATATGTTCCTTAAATTATTTTTTGTAATTTGATCTGAGAGTCGTTATATTCCTAATTTTGTGTGTAGTTTACACAGCTATTTAATCGGTAAATTTCAGGATGGTCATGACAACTGTTGATTTTAGTATTAGTATTAGTATTAGTATTTCGTTATTACTTCACTCTTTGCTTTTCTTGGTGCAAATCCATTTTTTGCAAGTCAGATTAATTTTCGCATTACCCAATTTCATACCAAATTATTATGCCGTTGGCCTGTCGCCGATTCTTAATATTACAAAACATTCACAGGTTGTTGCGGTTCGAACACTCACCTCACTGCTTTAATTTTGTTTTGCTTATCTGCCCGGCCTACGCGCCTTTTCTGACTTTAAACTGGCGCACAGAGCTGGGATCGGTCCCGCGCCTCTCTGCTTCAATCTTGGTACTCTGAACTTTAACCACTGGGCCAAATATATCAAATTTGTATCAATATTACAATAATCATTGACTTTTGCAGAGTCCTCCGAAGAAGAGACTAAAGAGAGGGCATCCAGAGTTTTCAATTGTTAGTGTACCAGTAACGGCGGTGAGTAATAGAATAAATTTTTTCGCAAGTTATTGTATTATATTGTCCACGGTTTTTGCACGGTTGGCTACGTTTTATCACTGTTGTCTGCATTCTAATTTTAATTTGTTGGGTTTTGTCCATAGGTGATATTTTAATAATTTTATGAGAAATCATTTACGGATTTTTTCCGTTATATTCCTGGAAATGTCGTTACTGTTGTTACTCAGATTTTTTATTTTTTTTTTGTGCAGCATTTGAGAATATTCATTTTCATATAAATAACCAACAATTTTTCAGGGTTATTGTAGAAATTTCTGCAAATGTTTTTGACTTGTCAAAACTTTAATGTGACACGAAAAAATTTAATTTTTGCCAATATTACAGACGTCTGCAACGGGTACCCGCTCAAAATCGCGCACATCCGTTCACATCGAGGAAGACTGCACATCACAAGTTGTTGATGCGTCGTCCACTGATGTTGGCCCTTCATGTTCGACAAGTTCGGACCTTCCTTCAGTGAGTACCAGCCATGTAATATGCTTAAGCTTTATACGTAATTTTCCGAATCCTTTTGATATTACATTAAATTACACCTTAATTTGTTTTAAATAGTGCATATCTCTCTAAGTGAAGCACTTAGTTTGTAATTATGTCCATGTGAGCATTTTATCTATTGATTTTAAATCCAATTGTTCGGAAATCTTCATCTAGCGTTCCAAACGTTTAAACTGCATTTCATTCGTGTCAACTCCATATTTTTCATTTATAAATAACTTATTTGAAGCAGTCAGCATAACGCACATATCGCTTCAGATGCTCTAAAAGAAGATCATATGATTAATAGACGATAGAAGTTATGGGCTAACGGTCTTCAAAAATACTTACGCACCTGTCCCAAGTTATCCTATTTGGTTCGACTTTACTATAACTAAGTGGTGCATATTCTGATTTCCAGATAGCGACGGTGCATACTCTGATTTCTAGATTGCTTGTGACAGTTTTTCATTTTGCTTTGGGTGACCTCGGTCAAGCGTAAGTAAATGTCTAGACACGAAAGTTATTTAAAAAATATAGCTTCTCAAGTTCTCGTCCAAAATGATCTTCTGAGTTCTGGGCTATTTGCTAAGTTCTTTCCATTTGTATCATTAGCAATTTAACTGCGAATTCATTGTAAGCTATTATTTCTATAATGGATTGCTAATATGCTATTTTATGCGTTATGGTAACAACATGACTTTGCGGACAAATTTGTGAATAAAGGAGTGTTCCGGCAATAATTAAGTTAAATCATTAATTGTTAGCTATTCATTATTTCTCAAGTCTTACTTACCATGCAGTTTCAAATACAAGTCTGCAACAATCTGAAGCCTTTACTCATTTTACTGTCATTTTAACAGAATAACAATAATAGTGCTTTGCCTTTGACTCCCAACTCCCATTATTTTCTAAAAGCAAGTAGGTGAAGTGGCAGAATAAAACTTCATTCAAGTTAGGTATCTCTCTAATCTCTATAAATTTCTATTTAGTAGCCACTTGTGATACTAAAATCTAAATTAATGCTTATTTCAACTATGCCAGTAAAATATGGGACTTTTTATAATTTTTTACATATCTCTGTGCCAAACTGGAAATGATTTGCCTTTGACCGAAGGCAATATTTACATATTTTCATAAAAACAAGTGGCAAATCAGACTTCAACCAAGTTAGGCCTGCCTATCTCTCTATAAATTTCTATTTAGACACTTGTGAATTTTGTGATACTAAATTAATGCTTACTTCAACTATGCCAGTAAAATATGGGAATTTTTATAAATTTTTTACATATCTCTGTGTCAAACTGAAAAAATAGGGCAAATAGGCTACGCCTACGCCAATGAATGAGATTGGAATGCCGGACAATTTCACTTTTTCCCTAAACATTAATTGTATCATTATTGCAAAAAATAAGGAAAGTGGCATTTTTTGCCCACACTATTTAACAGTCACCTGGAAAATGAATGTTTTAAACCACAATTTTTGGAAAATTCCAGATTGTTGTCTGTGAAAGTACAATAGGACATGCATTGCTCTGAACAACTGGGGTGGAAGATTTTCCATTGTTTGGAAATTTGCTAAAGGTGGAAATGCATTCTAACTTGAATTTATGCTGCTAATAGGCTAAGCCTGGAAAAATGTTATTAATCAGATAATTGGCTTTATTTCCTGGTGAATGCACGTACTGTTAGGATTTGTAATTGTATTAAATATATTTTTTTCATTTCGATCATGACCTGACTTACTACAATTCCAATTTAATAAATTCAACCAAATATGTAAGGTGCTGTTTCAAACCATGCACTTTGTCCATTAATATTCATGTAGTGGCATGCACCTTTAGGTAGTATTGAAAATATCTACTTTGTGAGCTGCAAGTAGAGCCTACGTTTTCTCCAATTTGAATTTTGGAGCTACAAAATTTCCAATGGATTATCTAACTGATTGAAAAACGGTGCACTGTCAAACCATAACTTTTGACATCCTAAATTTGTTGACAAAATATCACTTAGGAGATTTAAGGTTAAATTTCAAGCTACGTAGGCAGAGTGCATAGACCAAACATTTTAATAATTCAACTCCATTTATTGGTTGCACAATGAATGTTAAATTTTTACACTTCTCTTTAACTTAACTTCTTGTTTTTTATTTTTTTTCTGTGTAGATATCTTATAATCAATATTTAACACACTTCTACCTGTCCAATTGATTTGAAATTTAGCACGCTGGCCCCTCTAGAAGTGTTTTCTTTAAAAAGTAATTTTCAATTTTAGCAAAAAAATCTTTAAATTACTTAAAAAAGTAATTATTACTAATGAAGTACAGTACAGTAATGAAGTACAGTTGATTCAATTACAGTAAGTTTTAATAAACGCTCAACAGTGTGAGTCAACTAATTATTATTCAATGTACTACAGCACTGAAATGCTATATTGCGCTACTGCCACTGACTATCGATGCAGTAGTAAAGTACAACTGATTCAGTCACTTGAAAGTTTATCAATAATGGGACTTCTTGGGCACAGAAAACTGCTGGCGACCATGTTCAATGACATGAAGCAGGTACCGTTTTTAGCGCATTTTCTCTTTTATGAAAAAAAGGCTCAATTGTGCTCGTCATGTCCATCCGTCTGACCTTGACTTCACGTCACGCTATTGTGCTTGTGCATGAGAAGCTGCGCTCTGTCACTCACTGCAGTGAGTACTGATCTATTTTTGTTCCTTTTGGCTAGTCAACAAGAAGTTGAAGTCTGTAAACATAGAAATACCACATTCAGCAGCATCATTGACAATTTTCAGCTTCTGTTCTTCTTGACAACTGATGCAGTTCTGGTCAATGCTGTTCAAGGTGTCAGGCTTTTGCTGTAGGAAGTCAGTTTCAATTTAGATTGCCACAAAAAAACTTGTTTGTGTAAGTTGAGATGAAGTTTGACAGAGTCAACTCAGACAAAGTTCTATTATCTGGAGATTCAACTTGAGGTACAAGAGGGTTTTCACAGGATTATGACAAAGCACGTACCATTTTACATGTTTGTCTGTAACTTCTGAACTAAAGAAACAAGTCCCACAAGAGTTTCACTCAAGTGTCATAAATGGCACATGAATGTATTCATGGCTGTATACTGGAAATTGACTTACTAACTTTTCCATAAGCAACAAGAACTTAGAGTAACTGTAGATTATTTAATGGTGTAATTGCAGCATACATGCGTGTGTACCATGCTTTGAAATACAGCTTCACAGTACAGGCATTGAACTGTTGAAACTCATAGAATTCAGACTGTAAGATGAAACTGGGATTGAAAGGGTATTTAATTTTTGCCATTTAGCAGGCCTTGTGATAGGCATCCAGGGCATTAATGTAATCATTTGGCTCTTCATCAACTTGAGCAGAAGTGGCAGCTCTTTCTTGTCTAGTTTGTGTAGCTAAAAAAATGGCTCAGAACCTTCCAATTTGATGATAGCTTGGACCCTGTCATATTTTCAGATGTGCATTCAATCTTCTAAGTGCCACAAGTGTATATGATGGCAATAGTAGATGGAATTGAGTTCTGCATTATGCAGCTATCTTTACTCACTTGTGTGAAACAAAGATGGGATTAGTTAATAAATCTTCCAACTGGCACTTTGGCATCAATCACTTAATTTTTTAATTCAGTGGTTAATATAATGGTATTGTACAATATATCTCACTGATATGGGAATGGGGTAACACTTGCAATAAACTCCATTTTAAAACGTTGGAAGCATGCAGAGTTTGCTAGTCCATTACTAACAGTACTCTGAAGTCTTCCTCTTCCTTTGTAGATGATGTAGATGTAGAAGAAATGAAATTTCTGTGATTTTTACTTGTTTTTCCTTTATTAATATGATATTACCTAATTCATGGGTAGCATCAAGGCCATTGAGCCTTGACAATAAGCTTGTCCATTGCAAGCTTCATATCAGCAGCCATATAGCATTTCTTCTGCACGTAAGCTTACAGGACGGCTTGTAATTCTGCACCATTTTAATCGTGTCAAGTGAATTCACTATAACAAAAAAAAAAAAGATTGTAAAAAACATACCTGAAACACAAAAGAATATTTTAGTGACAACCATCATATTTTTAGAGAAAAAAAGCATAGTTTAGGTTAATTACTTTTCATTCTATGTTGCCCGGTGAACAATTCTATCTATGACATTCTATGCACAGTTTGGTGATGACCGATGATGCACTAATTTTTTTGTCAAGTGTAATATTTCCACTGAGCGAGGTAAATCTAATCAAAATTTTTTGTTGTTAATTGATTTTTTTGTTAACTGGAGCCGTTGCTAACCAAGGCTCTACTGTAAATGCATTTTTAGGGGTGTCGTGCCTCTTATTACCGCGTCGTGCAGAAATGCCCCCATTTTTTTCTGGAATGAGATATGCTTATTCCATCAATCACATTTTTAAGCCAACACCTGTGTGCAACTTTTATGTAAGTAAAATTTTTAAATGTGACAAATATTTTTTCTGCTACAGACCTTAGCAGAGGTACTTTTCCAAAATCTAATTTTCACACTTTTTTAGGGATTTTTTAGAGAGAAATGTATTTTTTAGAGAGAAATGTATGACTTCTCAACTTGGTTTATGCTGCATAGATAGTAAAAATGTTGAACTTTATGCCACTATTTTTAGTGTTGCAATATTTTGAATAGTTTAGCAGCTACAACATTTCTACAAAATGGTATAAGACTGTCCCTTATTACCCTGCCTGTCCCATATTACCCCACCCGTCCCTTATTACCCTGTTTGATGGTACATTTGTCTTCAATTATGAGTCATGAATTTCCAACCATTAAAAAAATTTGTCTTGTTCTGCACCCGCTGCTCAAGCTATTTGTTATTTAGTTCTGTTAAATTTTCCTCGCAACATTCCCTCAATCAACTCTTAAGTCATGTATACCGTAGTGAGAGTGTTGCACCTTTCATGGAGATTTCCTGCACAGAACAGACAATCAGAAACAAATAGTTTGTGCAAACCAACTAAATTTTTTCTATAGAT